TTGATTCCACCTAGAGCTAGCACATGGCCGGTTCCAACTCCTTATTAAATGCCTTTATTATTAATTTATTATTTGAAGAAAATTACGAGAAGAGAAAAAAATATATATTAGGATGCACTGTTTTATTAATGTTCTTGAAATTTTAATTGGTAAAATATCTTGATTTTTTACGACTTTTGTTTCTCTCTCATTATCCATATAAGATTTTGGAAATTTTGAAGGCAATTTCGTAGGTGTGTGTGACAAGTTGTGAGGGACGTAGATTTTCCAGGCGAAAAGGGGTAGATGCATAATTTGAAACGCTAAAAGATCAAAGGTTGCCATTGAGACCACCAAAAACAACTTCTGTTGTTCCAAGGTACAAGACAATTTTTAACCAATTACCTTGCTCCTCTTTTCCCCATCTAAATTCATTACATTATAGAACTTATCGATTCTAAACGTCTGTGGATCATGTTGCTTGATGTTCCCACACAAGCATATTCAGTTGGTTACTACTTGGTCAAACGTTATAGTTCAGTATGTGATTAATTGTCCACAATTTTGCCTTCCCATTACTAAACGATAATTTCATAGATATATTGTTATGAATCTTCATGGAGGTAACTATGCGTCCTTGCACAGACACTAAGAATATACTTTAAAACTTCCCCTCGTGATCACTGTTTTCAACGCTCATCTTGTTTTGTAACTGACTCTTGTAGAACAAAGCTGCATTCATAGATCTTCCCTAGGTCATAGTTTTTAACTCCCTGTATTGTTCTATATAATGTTCATTACAATTCCTCAATTTGTTTCCAAGCCAACGATTAACAAGGCTTGTTACCTTCTCAGGCCTACTACTAAATTTGCCATAATTTGTGCAGGCATAATCTGGTACAATCCATGGCATCCACATCCATAAACATGCCCACCTCTCCAGCTTCGACGGCAACAAAAGAGGTTTTCAAAGAACGTAGCGGTCTTTGCCGATCACATTCTGGGATAAATCTTTGCAAGAAAGCTGGCATTCGGAGGTCTGTCTTAGATAACCACCTTTGTTACTTTGTTAACCGCATTCGTTGTGAATCATCAAAACCAAACCTGAAGAACAATCGGTCTGCTGGGATATTCTTGTTGCAGATATCTAGCTCCATAATTCCAGACTCGCTCAAATAATTTCTGTAGGCTTAATTTAATTTTTAGTCTATTAACTATCAACTTGATTTCATTTTAGTCTAGAAATTATGTTTTATTTCTAAGTGGTCTATTAACTTTCAGATTCATTTCAATTTCGTCTACTTGGTAAAAGATAACGGAAAACTTCTTATTCTTTTAGAAAACAATTAGTCATTTGACTATATTTTTTTGATCTTTTAGTCTTTAAATTTATATTTATTATAAAAATAGCTTTTTTACTTA